CGTCCCTGCCCGTCCAGGTCCGTAAGCCAGCGGGGTTGCCGCTGCTGGGGCTGCCCCTATTCGTACTTGTCGTTGGGGACAGTCTCTTGCCATGTGCCCGGGTTGATGGCACGCGTAACACGTGTCAGTTCGGGGAGTTGTGCCTGCACCAGCCCCCGTGCTGCGGCGGCAGACGCTCCAGCAGGAAGGGGGGCGGCACGAACGTTAATGGGACGCATGGAGCGCATCAACGATTCCATTCAAGCATTATACTCGTGCTGCTCCTTCTTGCTTTCCTGCATAAGGCTGACTAACGTACGCATGAGGTCTAGTATCCCGTCGATTCGTCCGCCTTCCCCGCCGGGGCGGGTATCAGTGTCGGCACCCTTGCCGCTAAGGGTCCCGCTCCCTGATCAAGAGGGGGTCGCTGAGTTGCCACCTGTTCCAGATAGGTGACGAGTCCTGATACAAAGCCCATATTTTCAAATTTGTGCTGGAGTGCGGCCAATTCCATCTTTTCTCTGGTTAGTTCTATGGAATCCCCTTCTTTTGCGTGGTCTTTTCCTTCAAGGAAGCTGGCAGCGAATTTTCGCTCCATCTCCTCGGTTGCGTCCATAATCTGTGTCATGGTAAAGGTTAGTGAGGGAAAACTGTTTTAGCAGCTTGGCCCGTATTGCTTTGCTTCGGAGCCCGTCTATGAAGAAGTCTCTTCCTACCTTTTCGTCTCTCAGGGATTTTACGAACAATCGGTAAAATCGATTGCGATATTCCACAATAGATTCGAGGGGGTTCTGTACTCGGTCTTTGATCATGAAGAACGCTTGCTCCGGGTGAATGTAGTCGAATCCATGGAGGAAATCTCTCTCAAAGGTAGGGAGGTCAATCCATACGTAGGTGCTGAACAAATGGTGGGCATCACCCCCTAGCTAGGCAGGGATACTAATTCTCGCCTCGTCGTTATCGTACTGTTGTGCTCTGAGAGTGGCAAGCCATGCTCCTGCCAGATGGTGCGTCGGGTCGAACAAGTACAAATCTAGCGGGGCTATCGGAGCGCGAACACGTGCAAGCTGAGAGGCGAGTACTGGGCCACCACCTGCCCCTCCCTGTGCCTGGTGAGCCTGCGCTTGATTAGCGTTGGCCTGATTGGCATTCATGTTATCGGTTGATCTGCCTGCAGACTGGCTTCTTGTTACTATAGGTTCGCGTGCTGACGTGTTCCCTGGCACAGACCGTCCCCTTTTTCGGGTCGCCAGGTCGGTTGAACTAAGAGAGCCGAGCCACTTGTCAATTCCTGGTCATGACACGTGTCGGCTCCGATACCAACCTCACGCCCAGCACGACTTCCTGTTTCGGAGTATTAGTGGGCCTGGAAGTGCGAAAAGGGGTGTGCCAAGGATTTTAGGAAAGTGGGGGCGGAGTTCCAGGTCGGAACTCGAATCTCCTGTGTCAAGTTTCAGGGGTAGAAGTGCAAGTGTCTCTTTTGGCTCAGAGTTGGGGCGATGGTCGATCGTGCGGCCTGGGCCAGGGTGGCGCACTATGGGTGTCCTTGTGGGAACGCTTGTACCGCTGCCGACCGTCGCAAGCTTCGGAGTCCGACGAAGACGAGCTGGGTGCTCGTCGCTGGGTCCCCAGGTGGGTTCGTTGCGTGACCCTCGCCTGTCGATACTTGCCAGGCTTCCGACACTCCAAGCACAGCGGGCGGGGCCCGAACCGGGCTATGGAATCCCAGGGGATCACGAGTAACCGATGGTAAGGGAGGACGGTATAATAGGGAGGGAAGTCAGTGGTGATGGCAACGAAGCCTGAGGTTAGAAGATATTGCTGGTTTCGGTTGTCGAGATATTAATTGGGAATTCGCGGATCTCAACTAATGGCCAGCTGGAAATCGCCCTGGCACAGTCGCTCGTTTTCTGTCCGGCAGGGGTTCTCAAGGTGCTCAAAGTTCCGTAAGTGGCGATGTTGTCGGATCCGCTGCCGTCGGATTTGTTCCCTTTCCAAATACGTTCGGTATTCTGGGTCCCTCAGGCTTTCACGATTGGTGATCCAAAAAGGGGATTCTATCGCCATGTCTCGTTCAACGGAATCCATGCACACACATCTTTCTAGGGGCGGCGGGGGGGGGGGGCAAGATCGCAACTGGCTTTTGCAGACGCGCGTGTAGATGGCAAGTCTGCGAACGGGCCGCTGCCTTACACGTGCGTGCGCACCGGCCAGTTGATCAGATCCTAGACTGCGCTAATGAATAAGGAGCGATCTTGTCAGCGTACCGGCTCAACCATGCAGCTGGTTCCCTCATGCAATCAACCTCGCTCTCGGGATGAGCTATACCGTCATGCATCAAGGGAGAGGACTATTGGACATTCACAAAGCATACACACCCAGCAGTTCCCGTAATCACTGATCAAAAAGACAACTCGAAAGAGAGGATACGAGCTCATTCATCATCATTCATGCATACATATATACATCAAAAGGTCCGAGATGATTCACTCAAGAAATTCCAAAAATGCCGCAACAAAAAAAAAGTATTGACCAACGTTGAAATCAAAATTTATACAGACAGTAGGGAGAGTAAACATTGTTCCACCGTATCCCTCTCTCTCTCTCTCTCTCTCTCTCTCTCTCTCTCTCTCTCTCTCTCTCTCTCTCTCTCTCTCGGTGTGGGCAGTCCGTCGCCCCGCAACCCCGACATCAACCCGAGTCGCCACCCCGCTTGGCCTGAGTATGCAAGCCAGGTTCGCCCACGTACCACATTTCGTCGCGTTCACTCGTCAACCCCACGCACTCAGCGCCAGCTCGTCGGATCGCCTGACTCTCTACTCACCGTCTTTCTGCTCGTTAGTCGATCCTCTCGACCACGGTAACTCCCAAGTAGGTAAGAGAGAACTAATCGCACTTGCGAAATTTATAGCATGTATGCTTGCGCGAGGGATACGGGATTAGCACCAAGTGATGAGAAAGAGAAAAGAGGGAGTGCCTACGTCTGCATGCCCAGGCCGCGGTGCGGGGGACGAAGCCACTCTCCGCGCATCGATCCGGGCATGCAACCATGGGAACCACTCAGAACAGAGGAAGAGTGTGCATGCGCAGACGAGGCGGGAAAGAACGACATTCGGAAGCCATCAAGAGCAAGAAGTTTACAGTTGTGATCGCGCCCGCCAAAAACTACAGTTACACACAGGATTGAGGCGCGGACGGAATCAAAGCCCAGACCCTGTCGGGTCACGGCGCGTGCGAGCAAGAAGCGTCGTGCCGCTAAGTTGCAAGGTGCTTAAATTCCTAGTCTAAATCCTAATTGCAAGAGAATTCTGAAAAAAAAGGAGAAAAAAAAAACATTTCCAAGAGCCTGCGGGGGCTCGACATTAGTTCGAATTTCAAAAACGAAAATTCCCGCGCGCTGATCGCGCCGAAATTCCTAGGGCGCATAGCAGAACAAGAAAAGAAGCTATGGCAACCGTTATTTCTCGCGCCTGCTAGGGCGCGGTCACTTAATCATCGGCGCGGAACTTTCCCGGCACCGGCCCGACAATTCCAACGAAAACGAAAAAGAAGCGAGGGCATCCAGGAAACTTGCCCCACCGATCCCGCTTGCGCCCCGTCACCCATCAAGGCCCTCCTGTTTCCCCACAGCAGCCCCGCGCAGGAAGTCGCGCGATTACAGAAGATAGTCCATCACAGTGTGTTCAGTTCATGCCCCGTGTCTGGCCCAGGGCCTGACTCAGATACATTTGGAAAAGGGTAGGCAGGGCCTGGGCTCACTCAACCAACTGACGCTGCGCAACTGCCTCAATTTACCCCAGCCGCATCAAACATAAACAAGCCTCACGTCACTTGTCAGGCCTGCCTTCACTTAGGGTGGCCTTTCGCGCTTAAACATGGCCCAGTAGGGCTTTCTGAGGCTTTTAGCCTCGCATTACCTTATTTCTCCTCATTATTTTTATCTTAAAAATTAATAATGAATTTCTAGGGGACCCTCAGCCAAAAGTTGATTGTACTGCAATTTTATACAACGTTTTTTTTTCAGATTTTTAAATCATTTTTTTGATTTTTTTTAATTGTTATTTTTTTTTTAATATTATGCGCTGGGGCTGCCAGGGACTCTGCCCGGCCACTGCCCAGCCCGGGCCGCCCGGGAAGGGTCCAATCTTATTCATGGGGGGCAGCACGTGCTGGGAAGACCGGGCCCAGCGTATCCGCAATTTGCTTTTTCTGCTTTTTTTTCCAAATCCTGGAGTTGCTAAAAATCAGAGCTTAAAAAGAAAAAGAAAAAAAAGAGCTTCCGAACCAAGTCGCCAGTTTTTTGTTTTGCAATGGGCTCTTGCAGTCCGTCCTTTTTTTTTCTTTTTTTTTTTAAATGGGGTCCTGCTGTCCTTATCCGCAATCTGAGGGGTGGACTCACAAAGCACAGGCATAGCACACACATAGCACAGACATGGCACAGACGTAGCCCAGACATAGCACAGACATCACACACATATAGAACAGACAGAGCTCACACAGAGTGCAGACATAGAACAGACATAGCACAGACATAGCAAAGACATAGCACATGCATAAAACAGGCATAGCACAGACGTAGCACAGACATAGTACAGATATAGCACAGACATAGCATACGCATCGTACAGTCATAGCACAGGTATAGCATCTCTCTGTCACGGCCTCGAAGCACAACCTAACGAACGCTTTCAACGAAAGACGGTACACTAGATCGCCATTTCTAGCCATCATTTTTTTATTTTTTTTCTTCAACCAAGGACAGAATTACACAGAATGGTGCACCATTTCTAGCCATAAAGTCGTAGAGCGCGAAGACCAATGTCCAGTAATGAAGACCCCGTGTATGTGGAAACTGCACCCTAGGAATCTCTCTCAAAGAATGCGATGGGACTTTTTTTTTTTTTTTTGAGAGAGAGAGAGAGAGAAATTCCGCCACGATGGGCGGATCATTGTCCTCAACAGCCTCAGAACTGGCCACAGCGAAAAAAACATTTTCAGCAGAATTTTATTTTCCGATCAACAACACCATGCAAGTTTTATTATCTCCACCCCCCCCCAAAAGAAAAAACAAAAAAATAGAGAAGTTTAATTAAGCGAGCTAAAAAAATCAGCGCTGTTAGGAAAAAAAAAAAAAAAAAAAAAAAAAAAACAAGAAGAAGAAACCTGTCCAGACCAGCCTTCCTTTCACTATGTCCCCCCAAAAAAGAAGAAGGCGAAAAGAAGAACAAATAATGACCGAAGTCCCCCTCCCTTGGGGAGAAACAACCGTAATGTTTGGTATACAGCTTACCTGGGGCAAACAACACGACAGGAACTTGCCCTGGGGCAAACAACTGGCCTGGTTTTGGGTTAACAGTTTTCCAACCATATAACTCTTGCGGCAACGCGGGAGGGCCGGGCAGGAAATTATTTGAGCTGGAGATCTGCTTCTGTGAGTCCTAAATGGAAAGCTCGATAGCGATGGTTCAGTCCTTTTTGAGCGTGTACCTGGTAGCGGCTTCCCAGTGCTCCTGCATCGCCGCTGGCTATGGCGTAAAATACTCGACTTACTCTTTGATGGATGAGCGCCATGGCACACATTGCACATGGTTCCCGAACGACAAAAACGTCAAAGCTGGTACATAAATAAGGGCGGGGTGGCAATAGCCCTCCCTCTGGCGGATGGCTGGAGGGGTCGTCGTCTTCCCTCCTCCGACTGCTGTCAATGTGGTCAGACTGATCTGGCTCAAGCCGAGGACGTTTTACCCTTTCACATGTCGGTTCCCTGATGCTCAATGCTTCCCTTCCCTCCTCCTCACAATCCACCCACCTGTCCTCCGTCGGACAATCTACTCCCCTTCCCTCCTTCCATGGCGGAAACATCAACAAATCTCTCCGCGCGGCCCGGTCTATTGCCACCATGACCGCATGCTTCAAAGGATGTGGGAGAAACATCAGTTCAGCCACGCTGTCCCTGTTGCTGTTGCTGTTGCTGCATCCCTTCAAGGAGATGCAGCTGCCTTTCTCACCACCCTGCACGATCCCTTCTTCCCGACTCAAGGACCCTTCGTAGGCCATGCATCTGGCATCTTCCTTCACATCCCTTTCTGCTATTTCTGTTTCCTTCCCCGCGTATGGCTGTGCTGGCCTCGCTGAACTCCTCGCGATCTGCACCGCGACTTCGACTCCAATACCACAAGGGCAAAGTACTTCACCACCATTGTCGCCGGCCTTTGCTTGAGGATCGCCAAATGCAGTAGGTTCCAATCCAGAACAAGCTGCTTGCGGGTAAAGTCCGCAGCCATTAGTTGTCCGCACGCATTCCTCAAGCCCTAGTCGATGCCCGCCCTGAGCCACGACCTCGTCTCTCTCTGATGCGAGGGACCATGGCTCTCGCTCAATCGTCTGAGAGTCTAGCGTGGCCACACAGCTAGATTCAGAAGCCGATTCTGAGGCCAGTTTTTGCTCTGCGCTTTGCGGCACAGGAGAAGACCAACCTTCTTCGCGCTCCTCATGATCGCCATCTCTCCTTTTTGTTGGGTGCGCGGCTTCTCTTCCTCTTCCTGTTTCGCGGGCTTCTCGATCGGCGTTACTGTCGCTGCGTGTTGTACGGTCTTGGAACCACCTCCCCGTCTGGTCATACCCAGAGGCGACGACTTTACCACAGAATCCGTCAACGATGACTGCGCCATTTCCCTGGTGACCCTGGGCGAGCGCAATGCGTGCCTGCTGCACGGCAGCTTGCATGAATCCTCTGATCAGCTGAAGCTCTTTCTCGTTGAATTCTGTCGGAGTCGATCTCGCGTTGCCCGCAACCGGATGGTAACTGCAAGGCCACAGCTTGTTCTGATCAACCCATTCTTCTCGACTCAGGGCAGGCGAGCGTGGCACCTGCACCTTGTATAACTTCAAGCTGTGCTGCCTCACTATCACTCCTACGTCGTCGTTGAGGATGTTTGGCCGCTCACGTGGAGGCCCCTCCACCAGCGAAGCATCATCCCCATCCTCGCTCCCCTCTGTCGGATCGTCACCATCCTCGCCGTCAACAACGCAGACGATGATGGAAAGCTTACGCCCGCCTGCAGGCGATAAGGACCGCTTAATCCGCTTGACATGATGGAGGTTTCGAAGCGGGGCTTTGGCGCTCAGCAGTTTGATCAACGAACTGGCAGACGAGGACTCTATGTCCGCAACCCACACCCATAATGGCGTCCGATCTACTGCATCCTTGCTGCCCATCACCTCCACCGGTGTCCATGATGCACCAATGGCACCCATTACTCAGCGAACCAACAGGTTTGCTGAGGAGAGCAGCCAAAGCAGAGGGAGGGGGAATGGCCGTCAGGAGAGGGAGGGACTGATATACACAGAGCGATTCGACGAAAGCAGAGTCGTCACCAAGGGAAGGAGGCAGAGGAGCAGGCGAAGTACGAGGGAAAGGGAAAGGTAGGAAGTTAGGAACAACGAAAAAAGGCCACAGAGCCAGGACAGGGATCTGGAAGCAGAGCGTGGACGATGGAACTAGTCATGGACTCAATCAGAGAAGAAGAGAGACTCCAATATGGGGGGGGGAGGGGGAGGGGGAACAATTTGGTGGAAGCAGAAAACCCCAGTGGAAGAAGAAGAAAAAGAAGAAGGGGGAAAAAAAAAAAACAATAAAGGATGGAGGCGAGGCAAGCATGAAGGAAATGGAATGGCAGGAAAGCCGAGAGAAGACCACAGAGGAGGGAGAGAGTACTAGAGAAAGGAGGGAGCGGAAGATAGAACAACTTCTAGTCATGGACTCACTGAGAGAAGAAGAAACACATCTCGAGGGAGAGTGTAGAGAAAGGAGGGAGAGACGAGTGTTAGCCCCTCGAAAATTGAAAAGAATAGATCAAAAAATTTTAGTATTATTTACCACAACCGCGACCGTAAGTTCGTAACACCGTGTCCCATCCATTACACCGCCACTGCGCTAGTATCGACATCGCTTCGACTGCCAAATCATAACCACCAAATGAAGCCTATGGTTTATGGCCGCAGATCTCAAGCCAGCTAGCTAAGTGCTCTCCTCATTTGCTCTCTAAAAAGGTAGTCCACGTTCAATGTACAAGGAAACGCATGCTGTCATCCTTGTTGCGAATAAAGATACGCTCTCTGAGAAAGAAAGTAGTCCATATACAACGTACAAACATTCTCTCTAAGAGAGTAGTCCATGTACAACGTACAAGGAAACACCTGCGGGCATCCTTGTTGCCTCTAGAAAACTAGTCCATGTACAATGTACAAAGATTCACTCTTTAAGAAAGTAGTCCACGTACAAGCAAACACCTCCAGGCATCCTTGTTGCCTCTAGAAAACTAGTCCATGTGCAATGTACCAGGAAACACCTGCGGACATGATCCCCCGTAACAACCTAACAACCAAATGGGTACTTCACGGATCGAGGGGTTTCACTGTCTTAAAAAGTAGTCCAGGTACAATGCACCAGCAAACACCTACAGGCATTTTTTGCCAATAATATATCCCAATGAGGGCCTTCTCTCACTAGCACTTTCCTGGATGAATCTGATCGTAATTACAGCCTGACCTGGAAGTACCCGACCTCAATTACATTCACAGATCAGTTGAAAAAGTCCCTTTTTTTTCCGGGATAAAAAAGTCTTGCTCTGAGTATTTTTACTATTTTATAAATCAGAAAGGAAGTTTATTTCTTATGGGCAAGTAAGGGCATATATACTGATACCAGGGTCTTTTTGACTGATCTCTGGACACAATTGAGGTCAGATGCATCAAGGAGCGGCCACAATTGCAGTCACATACATCCGGGAAAGTGCTAGTGTGAGTGTGCTCTAAGTTTTGAGTCTTTTAACAGTCCCCAAGAGACGCATGTCCTGCGTTCAGCCTTAAACCACGACGAGTGTGCATCCAATCTTCTTTTTTCCAAAGCGCAATTTTACCTCCCCCTCATGTTCCAAACCATCGCAGGGACAAGGCCTATTGGAGGCTGTGCGCGATTTTGTCCGGTAGGCCGACCCTGTCGGCGGTGCCCTGTTACCGGTGAAACCGGTGAATGCATGCGAGATTTTTGTCCCGTAGGCCGCTACCCGCTTACCTGACCGAGCATGACCTAAAGAGTAATACCCCTATCATACATAGCCCGTGCACATGACCACTCGTACCCGCAATCTATCAAAGGCTACACCTACCCGCCCTCCCCCCAACCACCCCTCTTTCCCTACCCGCTCACCTAAAACCAAGCATGACCTACAGAATAATACCCCTATCATACATAGCCCACGCACATGACCACTTGCACCCGTGATCTACCAAAAGCTACGCCTCCCCACCCTCCCCCCAACCTCCCCAAAAGCCTTGGGACCAAGCCAATAGGCCCTATTGGCCTTGCCGAAGCTGCGCACTCACTCCGCCGAAGCTGTGCTCGGTCACAGACTGGCCAAAAAATTGAAGTCGTGGCAGTCCTGGCTTGGAACAGGAATCGTCCTTTCCCATCGTGGTAGCAACGAATGTCCGACACCACTCTCGTTTTCCTTTTTTTACCGTCGTGTTTGATCAATCCATCATCTCGCAGATTCGTTCGCTTGTGATCCTGCCTTTCTTTCAATCTGTGACAGAAAAGTCAGATGACGAGTACAAGTACATAACCACACAAAAAAGAAGTCAGACAACAAGTGCGGGTACATCCAGCCTTACGCTCCAATTACTGCGGTAGGTCACTTAGTGCGCAGGGAGAGAGGGAGGTGGGGGGAGAGGTGGGGTAAATAGAATTTCAATGGGCTAAAACCGCCAGTACACTGCCCCAGCCTTGCTGAAAAGAAACCCGTCGCCTATCCGGAAAAAGTCGGCGCCAGCGCGCCATCAATAAAAGAAATTGGCAGTCGGCGTCACTTTTCAGCCTCTGACACGGCCCCCGCGGCCGATGTGAGGCACGTACTGGTGGTTTAAGCCACCAGTACCTTTCTGAGCTATAGATGCCGAGCCTAAAATCGCCCTGCGCTGCGCGCCAAAAAAAATTGAACCGGTGCGGGCCTCGCTTTGGCTGGTGGCGCCAACCATCTTGGTCTGATCCCCGACCCCTCAAAAGTTGCCCACGCTAACCGGCGCGTATTTGTTTTTCAAGCAGGGAAAGGTACCGGTGGTTTAAAGGGTTTATTATCAGGGTGCGGCCAACCTTTCCCGGGAGGTGCAGGCCTGCCTGTGCCCTGATAAACCACCAGTTCACACAAACAAAAGCAGTGCTCTCACCAGTACGTGCAGTAAGACCATTTCGATTCGGGCCTGGGGCAGTAGCGAAAGCAGCAGAGGCCACTTTGAAAAGGTGCAGTTGCAGGCTCGTGAGCTTGAAAGGTAGCTTCGTCAACTTGGGCTCGTGTAGAGGTTTAAGCCGCCAGTGCGCGGCCCCAGGCTCCCAGCCTTGCTGAAAAGAAAACTCGTCGCCTACAAAATTTTCGGAGGCCCAGCGCCGTAGATAAATCGAATTGGTGGCGGGCGGCCTCCGAAAAGGGCCCATGGCTGATAGCTGGATGTACTGGTGGTTTAAACCGCCAGTACACCGCCCCTGCCTTGCTGAAAAGAAAACTCGTCGCCAACGAAATTTTTGGAGGCCCAGCGCCGTAGATAAATCGAATCGGCGGCGGGTGGCCTCTGAAAAGGTCCTGCGGCCGATAGCTGGATGTACTGGTGGTTTAATTCAAATGTGTTCAGAGGCCCACAGAGGACGAAGGAAGGCTCCAAACTACTTGTTTTCTAAAAGCGGGAGGGATTCAACTGAGTGTGGGTAAGCCTAAACCGTATGCGTTCAAATGGTCCACCTGAGCGTGGGTAACCTAAACGGTAGGTGTTCATGTAGTCCACCCGAGCGTGGGTAGCCTAAACCGTATGTGTTCATATAGTCCGGAGACTATCCCTGTCCTTATCGAGGGAGATGCTAACCTTCTGTCGGTGCAACGAACACGGGCACAAGTACTTGTGGTTTAGCTCTCGTTTTCTGTTTTATTTTTATCTCACAACGAGTAAGGAACTTACTTGAGGAGAGCCTCAGGTTTTTTTTTTTTTTTTTTTTTTTTTTTTTTTTTTTTTTT